TACAACAAAAAAACCTGGATATCTTGATCCCGACTCTCAGGAATAGGCGTGTAAAATCCCTCCCATTGGCCAACTCATGAAGGAAGTACTGCACCCGGTGCAGTACATGTACTTCCTTCATGAGTTAGCCAATGAGAGAGATTTCACACGCCAATTCCTGAGAGTCGGGATCAAGATATACAGGTTACATTGTTGTCGATGACATTGCAACAAATGAAAATCATCGCTGGCGCCAGACCTGTAATGCGTCAACGCCATCCACGAAGATTACACCTCTCTTGCGCGTGCTGGCGTCATCAAAGCGGATGCATATCGCACGCATGTAAATTACTGCTTTACCCTGGTACTGCACAGTATCTCCTCCATTACGCGCGGCGTCGCTTGCTCCAGGACGGGGCTTGAGCTTACAAGCACAACACTTGACGAGCTCACCGCCAGTGACTAGTCTCTGATGCGCAGACTGCCCTGGAGGCTGTCCTGTCAACAGCATGCTTGGGCTCGTCGCTCATGTCAGTGTATTTCGACAAGACTGTACAACAAAGAAGATCCCTCTCCGACCAACCCGCACGCAACAATATCAGAAACATCCAATCGTCTCACCCATGCTCATTGACCACCCCCCTCCCCCCACTTCTTCCTTCGTCCCCCTTGCCTCCTCCAAATGCCGCACCTACAAAAGATCGCCCTCTGCCATCTTTTCCCCTCTCCCACAATGACACAGCTCCATCTGCGCGCTTATCCCACCCTACTCCCCGTTTCCCTTTATTCCTTCTTTTCGCAATGTCCCCAGAGTCTGCTCAACTTGAAGACACCAAGAATAACACAAGTCCCGCACAACACATCAACTCCACCTCTTGCCCTTCGCAGCTTCTGAAGGAAGAGTTCTGCGCTCTGAGTCGGGCCGTCTCAAAATCCAATGGTCCCGCTCCGCTCCTTTCTCTCGCCACTCTTCTTCTGTCCTCGACCACCGCCCACTCACACCCTGGTGAGCTCGCGCATCTCTTTAATGCCGCCCTTTCCGAACCGACGGCCACGCTCCCAGGACTCTGCGCCCTGGCCCATATTTTTTCCAGTGCCCGACTTGTCTCACGATCAATTCCCCGCGCCGCAGCTCTCTGGCGTCGCTGTGCGGACACAAATCAATGCCTGCTTGGTTCCTTCCTTCTTGCTCAAGAGCTTGAAGATGGCACAAACATCCCGCAAGACATTCCTGAAGCAGTCCGTCTCTATCAATATGTCGTCTCCAATTCAAGTTCCCACCTGACAACTCCCACCTTGCGTCTAGCACATCTCCTAGAACTTGGAGCGGAGGGAATGGCCTCGGATCCTAAACGCGCAATTCTTCTCTATGAGAGTGCTATACGACAAGCACACAGTATCGAGGCGATGGAATGCCTGGCTGACCTTTATCTCGATGGCAGCGGAGAAATCCCCGAACAGCCCATTCTTGCTGTCGGCCTCTACGAGCGCGCCATCCACGAAGCCTGTAGTACACGTGCAATGAATTCTCTCGCTGTACTTCTTGAAACTGGCGCTGATGATGTCCCAAGGAACGCGCAACGCGCGGTTGCCTTATTTGAGATGGCCATTGCCGCAGGAAACGACGAGGCCATGGCCAATCTGGCTTTTCTCCTCGATCGCGGCGCAGACGGCGTCGAAAGGGATACCAAAAGGGCCGCGGCGTTGTATGAACGAGCTGTTGAATGCGGGAATCGGTTTGCTATGAGAAATTTGGCGCACATGATCGTGAACGGCGACGGCGATGTGGAACAAGATTTGTATAGGGCAATGCTTCTATATGAAGAAGTTTTACGAGACGGTCGCTACGAGGGCGCTCGTGTAAAGGTGAACCTCGCATGGCTGCTGTCCTGTCATCAAGATATCTTACCTCAGGACACTGTTCGTGCTGCGTCGCTGTATGAAGAAGTTATTCAAGATGAAGTGAACGCTTGTGCAATGTACAATCTTGCTGGATTGCTCGCTGAGGGCAGAGGCAAGCTGGGCCGTGATATTGGCAAGGCAATTGACCTTTACCAACGTGCTATTGACGAAGACGATGCGTTTTCAATGCATAACCTGGGGCTTCTGATAACTTCAGATACGGAAGGTGTCGAGAAGGATATGGAGAGAGGAATCGAGCTTCTCGAAAGAGCTGTCGAGGAAGGCCTTCGAGAGGCCGAATTCGATCTTGCACTCATTTTGACTGGCGGGGACAGCGCCAGCGCGATCGGTGATGGTAGCCCTGTCGACATGGATAGGGGTATTGCGCTTTATGAGGAACTAATAGAGGATATGGATCACATCGGGGCAATCATTAACCTTTCTGAACTCTATGGAGAAGGCAGGTTTGGGGTCTGTCGGGATGTAAAGAAGGCCATTCAGCTGTCGGAGCGAGCAATTTCACTTGCATTTGAGAACAATGTCGAACGCCTGGCCGAGCTCGGCATCCACGGGGACCCGGAGAGCGCCCTCAGAGAAGATTATGAGTCAGTGGAAATGCGTGAACACGCGCTAGCCCAAAGATGGCATTTAGTTGCGATGTGCAACCTTGCAGAACTCTTGCTCACTGAAGACGTGTCCAACCTGGAACGCTCTGTTGTACTGATTGAGAAGGCATTATCAGACGCAAGAGCATCCAAGGCCCTCCAAGTGCTTTCGTTCAAGAATCTTCTTTCGGGGATGTGGAGAGCAGTTCGGATTGGAAGTGACAGAAGTGCTTGCGAAAAGGTAGCCACTGTGTTTAATAACATTGTCGGGAGAATCGGAAACACGCAGGCAATGTGCCTTCTGGCTGATATGCTTATTGACGGAAGTCATGGGGTGTCACAGGACGTGAAGAAATCGATTAGTCTGTACCAGCGAGCAATCTTTAACAAGGACACACGTGCTATGCTAAGCCTTGGAGAAGTGCTCCTGAACGGGAGACCATGCATACCTGTAGACTTGTACGGTGCAGTGAAACTTTTTACTCAAATATTAGAACAGGACCCGTTGTGTGACGAGGCGCATGAGGCAATCGTGAATCTCGCACTGATCTACACAAAGAACAGACAGAACACGTAGTAGCCAGTAGTCATTTCCGTTATTTAACCCAACTTCTTGCGCCGTGCATACTTTATAAAGGCAACGAAAGGTTGCTTCAACAAGATTCATTCCATTAATTGCTTTGAGGTGCATTTTATTCGTCCTGTATGCGTCACCGTCATACCATAATTTCCCACAGATGCGGGTGGGTGTCGATGTGGCGATGGTTGAGGTATGATAAGGGAAGGACACTAAGGATACTGAACTACGGTTGGCACCCCGGTGCTCTATTAAGTCGGCGGAGACGGCCGCTCTGTGACCTCGCGCCCTCCCGGGTTGTCGGAATATAGCAAAGTCTAAGAGTCGTTCTCTACTTTGCTCGCCCCTCGGCGTGCGGCCGAGGCTCCGGCGCTGGCGGCCCCTGCCGCCACAGAAGCGGCAGGGCCTAATGGGTGTGACGAAGGAGGGCGGTGTCGGACGAAACTAATGACCACTACGTGGTCTCGGCGTTAGCCGGGATCTACAAGGGTGAGCGCGGTCTGGTAGCCCGAGTAAACTTCATCTTTCTCTAACTCTCTTTGTTTGTCTCGGGACCAGATTGACAGTGGGACCATGCAGCAGTTGGTGCATTATCGGAATTCCGCAACTATTCTGGAAATGTACTGTAAAGAAAGAAGTATGATTCAATACAGAATTCTGCAACGATTTGGTTCATAGCTTTTTTCTTTATTTTTGTTGATATAGTGAATTGTGATGCCAAGACTGGTCCGATGCCTCAGACCACGGATCGTGGCGGAGGCGACGGCGGTTTTATTTCCTATTCAGTAATAACGTTGTCCGCAAAGTCGGGAATACACGTGTTTTTACAACGAATTTGATCAAAATTTCTGGCAGAAATATTTTCGAACAACGAGTTTTGCCAAACTCATAGGACCTCCAAGACTCGCTGCATGTGAGTTTTACGTGAGTTGTGACATGCAAAAACAGTAAATAAACAAGTGGGCTCCGTGCGCGCTTCGCGCGCCAAGCCAAGTCCCTTCCTCCTCCGCTCCTCGTTCTGCACACGCTGTCGTTCCCCGCCCCGCTGCTCCCCCTCCCTCTGCGCTAACTCTCCCGTCTTCTCTCCGGTCATTGTCGCCCCTTGCCCCCTCGTCCTGCCATACGCTACTCGCCCCTGCGCGTCGCGCCCGGTCCGCGCCGCCGCCCTCTGCACCGCCGCCCGCCTGTGTCGCCTTCCCCCCCGGCCGCGGTTCGGTCCCTGCATCCCGCAAACATGGTCAGCGCCACTGCCCTCCACGCCGCCGCTCGCTTCCGCCTAACACTGCTACCTGGCGGCGGCTCCCGGCACCCACCCGCCTGCGCGCGCCCTCCTTCACCGCCGCCTGCGACACCTGCCCGGCTCGCAGCGACCACTTTCCCCGTTCTTCGCACCTCCGTGATGCGTGCGGCCCGCACCGCCGCCCTCCGCGCCACTGCTCCTACGACTACCTCGACCGCCCCTTCCCAAGCGCACCCGTCCACCACGTCCCCGCGCCGCAGGCACACCCCGCCCACCAGCCCACAGAACGTCTCTGCCACGCCCGCGTCCGTCTGCCCCGCCACTGCCACCCACCACGCACGTCGCCCGCCACATCTCGCCGCGCACGGCGCTCTTCGCCGCGTGCTGCCCGCTCATGTTGCGCAGAAGCTCCACGCAGCTCGCCGCCACGCGCGCTTCGCCCTCCCGCCGGTCCAGCAGAGTCTCCGCCGCCGCTTGGAACCGCTTTGCGTGGAGCTGCATGCACACCACGTCCGCGATCTCGCGCGCACGCCCGTCCCAGCCGCCGCACTCGCCCACCACGGCGTCAACGCCTGCCTCCGCTGCTACCCGGCACACCACGTCCGTCGCCGTCTCTGAGCAACCCAGTTAGCGCCCGCTCGCCGTCCCGACTTTCTCGCCCCCCGCACGGGCGCCCGACAGCTTTCGTGGCCCGCTTGCCGTCCGGCCTCCCCCGCCCCCCGGCACACGCGCCCGGTTGAAGACCCTTGTAAAACTCCACGCCGTCCAGCTCTGGCCCGGTCCGCTCCCGCGCCCTCCGCTCCCCCACGCGCACACGCGAGTGTGGTGATCCATGCCGCCCCGCCCGGGCGCCCCCTACCCTCCCCCACCGTCCCTATCGCCGCCCTAGCCTACATCTCCTCCACGTCATCGCCGCGCACCCAAAACCGCCCTCCGCCCACCATCATCTTGCAGCCCACCGTCCCTATCGCCGCCCGTCGCCGCCCCGGGCCGCACTTCCTCGTCGCCGCGCATCCACATCCGCTCCCAAAGTCGGAGCACCACGCGCTGCGCAACTCCGCCTCGAAGAATTCCGGCCCCCCCACGCACAGCCCCCGGCGCACCACCGCCCCGCCCACGTCGCCACGAGCCTCCGGTATTTCGGGCAGCCCCGTGTCTCACGCGTCCGCCCCCCTGTCGTACGCGTCCATCTACCACACCGCCGTCACGTGCTCGCAATGCCCGCCCCAGTTCCGCCCACAATGTAGATCCGCGTGGCGCGGTTTAAACGGATCCGGGCTAAAATTTGTAGTGTATTGTAGCGCGGCCGCGCTCGGCAGTCCGCACAGTTATTTTAATTTTAAATTTTAACTTGTCGCCACTTGTCAGCCTGTACTGTAGTGGGGCCCCGCCCCGCAGTCCGCACAGTAATTTTAATTTAAAATGTTACACTTGTCGCCACTTGTCACCGCCACGTGTCCCCGTGGCGGCCTGGCCGCAGGCCAGGCCCCGCCCGTGGCCGCCACTTGTCACGGTAGCGCCAATGGCAACGCGGGAGCGCAAGGACATACAGACAAACACACAGACACAGATTTTAGTAGTTGTAGATAAGTTTTATTTTTTGGCTTTCATCAATGACCAAAACCTCCACCCACCCCCACCGCATTTGGTCAATAGTATTAGAGAGATTGCGCAACCAGAATTCTGCAATTCGGCGGCCAGAATTCTGCAATACGTATTACACGTATCAAATCTATTGCAGAATTCTCTAATCGGTCGTGACGATAATTGCAGAAATGTGCCATTCTAGTCACAACCTTTTCTGCAATTGCCAAGCCGTGAGAAATACACGTGCACTGCGTGGGCAATACGTGTACCACTTTTGGCGGGAACTGTATATATGTGTTCTTCTCAATGGTTCGTCCCCTACGACCTTCCGCCGCATTGCGCATCCTTAGCGATTTGGTTTTCAGCACCATGGCGGAGGTCATCCATGATGTGGAGGAAGGGGAGGCTGTCGGTACTCAGTCTCCGGAGCTGACGGACTCGGAGGAGACAATCGACATTACAGGCGGGTCGAAGACGCGTGCGGCGGGGCGCAAGGCGAGGTACACGAGCGAGGACGATCTCTTCATCGTTAAGGAGGTGTGTGCAGCAGGCGCGCATGTAGCGCCGTACGGTGCCGCGCGCAACCACTTCGAAAAGGCGGCGTGCTGCGCCAACAAAACTGGCGCGCTGTCGTGTGTCGTGTCTGGCAAGGGCATACGAGACAGGTACCGGAAGCTCCAAGAAACATACGATAAGAAGGACAAACGCGAGCGGGCGGCGTCGGGACTTGGTGGAGGTCTGGGCGAGCTTGATGACAACCTTGCAAGTATGAATGAGGCTCGTGGCGACGTCCACGCGAAGAAGAGCCCCGATAAGTTGGCGAAAGAGGGGAGGAAAGAGAAGAAGGAGGAATTTGGGAGAAGGCTGGTGCAGATGGCGATGAACCGCCGGGCTGCTCTCGATGAAAGCGGCGCAAGCGATGCTGACGCCGATGTCGACGTCGGCGCCGATGCGGAGGCCCCTGTCTCGACGAAAAGGCGCAAGATTGCACCTTCAGGAGGTGATGACCTATGCGCGTTTGCGGCGACGATACGCAGTGCGGACATGGCACGCGTTGAGATTGACCGCGAGCGCCTAGAGCTCGAGCGTGACCGCCTGAAGGAGGATAAGGTTGAGCGCGAGCGCGAGCGCGAAGACCGTCGTGAGGACCGCGAAGCACACAGCAGCCTTGAGCTCGAGAAGTTCAAGCTCATGATGGAGATGCTCTCCTCCAAGAAGTAGCCTTGCTGTATTATTTCTGGCTTTAGGCTGTTTGCTAAGCGCTAAAACAAAGGGCAACCCCAGAGAGAGGGAAGCAATGAGCCACACTTGCCTCCCAATCTCACGCACTTCACGCCTTTCTATTTGGAGCATTGGAGCATGGAGTACTATTTATCCTTTGTGCGAGACGTACTCTTCAAGGGACGGGGGCAGACAGTTGAAATACTGCGAAATCGGGTTCGGATGTACGCAGTTCCGAAAGTTCGTCAGAAGCATGCTCGCAAGATACATGGAGCCCACAGCCGCCTCACGAACCCTCAGCTTCCTTTTAAAGTCCACTGCGGTCCAGCACTGCTTGACCTCTTTGAACAGCCACTCCACCGAGACCCTTGACAGCGCCATAGCCTTATTGAAGGCCCTCTGGTTGTCGCTCAGATGCGAGCCCTGAAATGGCACCTCCATGAACGCCCGTGCGTTGTGCCCGGCGTCGCCGTACAGGCAATACTGGTGCCCATCGACAGACAGAAGCTGCTCCAGTGACTCATCGAGGACACTTCTACTGTACATCGTCCAATCGTGGCGACGCCCTCCATGGGGCCATAGGCAGGAAAAATAAGCCCCCATGGGCTTGTAACCGCTTGAAATTTCAGCCCGTGTTTGCGCTTGTGCCCATTGCAGGCAACTTGTTGAAGAGAGGCGTCGCCACTGGGTCGCGCGATCGCAATCACCGTGCCGTCGATGAAGCCCACACAATTATCGAGCGCATGGCTCTTATCACTCACCGCCGCCGCCCAAGCTGGGGCTTTGGCTTCAATGAGCTCTGCACTCATGTCCTCAGTAATGAGGTGCATACAGGTGTCTAGGAAGAACTCCAAGCCCTCCCAGAATATTTCCGAGAGCTGCGACGCCTGCTTTCCAAACAACAACTCCACATCTGTCCAGCGAGCAGGGCTTGCCAGCCTACGCAAAACGACGCATGTCGCTAGAAGCGGGGAAACCGCATAACGGTTTCTTTTTGTCTTGGTCACCTGGATCGGCCACGCAAAAATAGACGTCAAGCGA